AAACGGCCAGAGTAGGCATTGCATGATGGCTTGTACACCCGTAGGGGCGTCACTGATGTTGACAGGAAAGGTGGCCTGCAACGCACAAGGCTCGTGTAACTGAGTAGTGCCTGGCACGGTTGATGCATTGTCCCAAACATTATAACAGGACAGCGAGCCTGCAGCTACCATCGAAGCATCTGGGCCTGATACGACAGGCCTCCCCGCTCCTTTCGAAGTCGGCACCCCATTGTATGCAGAGCAGCTGATCCAATCCATCCTTGCAGAATGTCCCAGACCTGCTCCCCTTGGCTCCGGAGCGACACTTCTATCGCCAACTTGACCCAAGATGTCTGGTGATCCTTGCGAAGTCCATAGACGGATTGGAATCGATAGAGGTTCTCCGCATTGATGGTTTTGCGAAGCTCGTTGGCCTCGAGGATCAGTCGCTCCGTCGTCTTGGTAGGTGCATCCGGTACCTCCTGAAGCTTCTCCAGGGCAGGATCCCACTTGAGAGTTTTCCACTCCCCAGCATCCGTCAACCACCCCATGGCTCGGGCTGCTTGCATGCTCTCTTCGCTCTTGGCAGTGTTGGCCAGTCGATTGCACAGCTCGATGAGGAAGGCCTTCATCAACACAATCCGAAGCGACGAGTCGATGAGATGTGGGTTCTCTTCTTGGGTCCGGTTCCATTTCTCCGACGCGGAGAACAAGATTGGAATCAGGCCTTCGGCTCCCGGCTTGACGAACAAAAACATGCTTGTGTCTTGTCGCAAGTTGCCCAGGGCATATTCGTGGCGCAGCGTCAGCTGGCTCAATCGCTGAACGGTGCTCTGAAGGTCGTGGTAGTTCATGTCTTGCCCCCAGGAGCCTCCCCATCGATGATCGTGAGGATCCTCCGTCTGGCTCCAACTGCCTGAAGTACGCCAGGAGGCTTGTCCCCCTTTGCCCTTGCCCTTGCCCTTCCCTTTGCCTTTGCCCTTGCCTTTCGGCGGTTGTGGTTGCTGCCTTGGCCACGATCTGGCAGCTTCCTCGAGTCTGGCCTTCTTCATTTCCGGGGAGTCCTCCTCTCTTTCCCGTTTCGATACAGGATTGATGAGGGACGGGCACACTCCGCCGAAGAAGTTCTTCTCCTGGGCTGAGAGCTCCATCGGTTCCATTGACAACGGCAGGGATTCCCGCAACAAAGCCCAGGTAGCAGCTGACTTGGACAACCAGGCAATTTCTCCAGTGTGTATGCTTGTTGACAGACTGTAAGTGGCAGTATCTACAAGGGAGAACCATGTGCCTACGAAAGGGTGTCATATGAGGCATGAGATTGGCGAAGTGCTGCACCCATTCATCATGTTGTTGGGTCATGTGTCGCTTGATGGCCGCCTGATCCATGCACCATTGGCGACAGAATGGACAGTGATGCTCTAACTCAAGTCGCAGCTCCTCACAATGCAGCAAGGCATGCCAGCCAGACTGTACAAGGATGGACCGAATGGACGGCCTCTGTGTAAGTGGTAAGGGTACAGTAGCTGTGACCTGTGGACAGGCAGTGGGGGTCACACAGGCAGAGCATGCCTGGTCAGAGTGAGAGGGGGCACTGATTGCCTCACTGGTGACAAGGGCTGCAGGTACAGGCTGAACAGACACACCAAGGACACGGCATTGTCGCTTGATGATGTGCTTCTGGAGATTGTTCCACTTGCGAAATTGGTGTCCACAGTGTTTGCATGTGGGCATGCCGTCAACACTATGTTCCCAGCGATCAAACACATAGGTACCCGGCATGGGTTGTGGGGTCTGTGAGCCATGAGCACGAGATTCATGTGACCTGCGCAAGCGGTGTGTAGCGAAGAATCGACCACAGTAGCGACACTCAAACACAGATTCAGGTCCTGTGGGCATCGTGCAGGAAGAAGCAGTCTGCTCGGCAGTGAGACATCCTGCCCGCAGTGTGGTACGGACAAATTGCATATGTTTGTGCAGACAATCGGTCACCAGGAAGGAGTCCTGCTGTGCGAGTTGATGCACGTTGTGAGCAAGTCTAATCATTTCTTTCTCCAGGATGGCACAGATGTCTGGGAGGCGCGCCTGATCAAGCACCTCTCGATTGCTAACATGGCTGAGATGGGCCGGGCAGCGAAGAATCGCCCTCAGATGACGCATGTAGATGCTTCGAAGCTGCCTACCACCCGCGGTAGGGAGTCCTGTGGCAGCCAACCCATAAAGCAGTGTGGGGGGAACGCTGCTGAACCAGATACGCAGTCGATCCTGCTTGAACAGGCCATGTCTAGAGCACACAAGCTTGCGAAGTCGACTCCATTCAACCTTGGCAAGTCCCATCCGATACACCAGTGTTTGTAATTGGGGGTCCGTGTAGCTAATTTTGGTACCTAGGTAGGTGTGGGAATCAACCACCGGAAATTCAAACAATCGACCCGAGTCCGTGCGGATGCGAAACAGCGGTCCATCTGGGCCTTGGGCAATGTGTTGTCGTAGCCATCGCTTGGCAAAGCCTCCTTTGAACTTATATAAAATCGCAGATTTAGAGGTATTAATGATCATACCCGACTGGACAAGAAGTTCGAGGAACTGGCCAAGATAGCGTTCTGCAGTCTGCAGGTCCTGCTGGTTATGAGCCGTGGCAGCAGCATGGAAGTCGTCTGCATATGCCGTTATGTGCTGGGAGACCCACCGAACATCCGTGACGAGTGCTAAACGGTATAGCAACCTGCCAGTTACGAGGGACCAAATGAGAGGGGCTACTAAGCACCCCTGCTTCAGGCCTCTGCTCGCAGTTACTGACTCGGCGTGGTCCTGAATAGAAAAGTCATATCTGATATTCCGGTACCACTCAAGTAGATGGTCCTTCAATTCAGTGGGGACACCCGCGTCATCTAAGGCCTCAGCCATATGCACCCATTCTAACACATCAAAGGCCGAACTTAAGTCTAAAGATAATTGCAAGCCACCGGCATTTGGTCTGGGCCGAGATAGCCCCGCCCGAGCTTCCCTAACAGTCCAGCGATCAGGGGAGCAAAGATGTATGATGTGTTGGCAGTGTGCCTGCACACGAGCTGCTGCATCGAGGGTGCTCCTACCGGGTATGTAGGCCCATTGGGGAATGTCCTCTAAGTATTTTTCTACGTATGGACGCAGACGGTCCTGTAGGACTTTGGTGACCATTCGATTGGAAACCTCACTGAGTCCAATCGGCCTCAGGTGCTTAGGCAGCGTGGGCTTGGATATCTTGGGTATCAAGGCTAACCATGCTGTGTGCCAGAGTTCCGGGGTAACAACCAGATTATTGACAATCTCGGTAAGCCGGGGGATAACCACCTGTGCACAGAGTTTCCAAGCAGCCAGCGGGGCAAGGTGTAGTGGTACTGCCTTGTGGGTGGGCATCAGGGACAGTGCACGCCCAAGTTGTTCTTCAGTAACTTGCAGCGCTGGCATCTGGGAAGAACGGGCAGGCTGCGGCTGTAGACCTGTATACACGGCCTCATAATGACGTTGAAGGAGTGCTGCTTGCTCAGCTGGAGTGATTACATGGCCTTCCTCGTCACGTAATTGAACATGCGCCCGACGTGACTTCGGTGCAAGAGTACGCACACCCTGGTATAGGGCTCGGACATCATGATGGCGAGCATGTTTGTTGAGTTCATCAAGTCTCCCTTGGTACCACTGCTGCTTAGCAATTCTGCCCGCCGAGCGAAAAGCTCTGTGTGCTTTTTGGAACCTGGCATAGTGGAACCAGACCTTCCAAATGGTGGCAGTTGTACCTCGGGCAGCGGCTTTCCACTGACGATAGTGTTGCCACATATCCTTGACACTAGTGTCCAGTGTGGCCATCTGCCACGGGGCATTGGCATTGGCTCGGGCCCCTACTGGAGCATGCATGCCAGCGGCTTGCACCAGGCAATCATTGATGTCCTGCACATTGGAGCATTTGCCAATGTCACATGCTACCTGCTGTATAAGGGCTTTGGCTCTGGGATCGTCTGGTTCTCGCACCAATTGCAGGAGCGTGGACTTGTCCCATCCAGTCTTGGGGGGTTGTGGTGGCCGATTGAGGGCAGCAAATCGACGGAGATGTATGGTTCCACTGAGTGGGAGGTGTTTCCCTCCTTTGCGCCATTCACCTATGCGGAGGTTATCCCTACCTGTATACCGGGCAAGTGAGTCCGCGCTTTCACCTCTAGTGAATACATGATCGATGAGAGTACGTGTGTCACCCCAAACGAAGGTGGGACCCATTCGCTTCGACCAGGAGTTAAGATGTATTAAGTCATGATCCTCAAGGAGGTGAATGAGGCGCGATGCATCAGATGGAAGGCGGCTATTCCAGTTAGCAACGCGGGGTCCGGCTCGTTCATGTTGTTGCATCGGCGTATTGAAGTCACCTAGAAGCAAGAGAGTGTGCCGAACAGGAAGCTTTGTTAAGGTATGATGAAGGGAGGTCCAGACTTGTTGACGAACTTCGTAGGCAGTGGGCTGTTTAGGGTCTCCAGGTGTCGTGACATCCTTAGGAGGTCTCTGCCAGTTCATTGTTTGCTGATATACATTGACACAGTCAAGGGCCCAGCACTTCGTAGTGATGCGAACGTGTAGAATTCGTCCTGGGAAGGGCTCTCCAAATGAGAGCACTGCATTCCGAGTCAGGGATCGGTGTATGAGGAGCATCACTCCTGCAGATCGATTGTCGTGACGGTGGGACTGGATGATCTGCCAGACACCCGTGGTGTATTGCTGGGCTGAATCCGAGCTCCAATGCGTCTCCTGCAGAGCAACAATCTGTGGCTGTGTCTGGGCAGGCATGGCCTCCAGGGCCTTCAAGAGTTCCACATAGAGGTCATGACTCAAGCCTCCACAGTTAAGGCTGAGAAAACGGACATGTGGACCAGTGGGCTGAGGGCCACGGACACGGGCCAGTCTGGTAGGTACTGAAGAGGCCTGAGGCAGGTATTGTTGTGATAGTCCACGTAGTGTACACCATCTACCCTTATACATAGTGCCGCCTTGTTGGGACTGGGCAGCCCTTGTGACAGCACGTTTGTAGGAGCGCTTATGGACTCGCGTTGGCACCTGTGAGGCAGGGTTAGGGCCATCAATGGGTGCTGTCGACACTGGGTGCGTAAGGATCGGGCGGACACCTTGCAGAAGCAGTGTCGAGAAGAGGAGCTGACTGGGTCTCATCGGTAACCGTCTGGAACATGTAGGAGGGTAAGGTGGGACAGGCACAGGGTCTGTCGAGCATGAGTGCTGCGGCGTGTATGGTGCACAGGAAGTGAGTGGGCTGATTGTACTGCAGGGATCTGGTGGTGATACATGCTCTTGGGGCAATAAACCGCATCTAGGTAAGGGATGGATATGCATGTCAGGGACACGTGTGTCTGCCTGATCAGGTTGCACGCAGTGTGGTGACTCAAAACATGAAGAAATGTGAATTTTTATCCTCTCAGGCCTTGGCTTCCCAAGCGAGGCAAAAGAGTATGCCCCGCTCAGTCTCAGGGGTAATTGGCATATACCCCCAACCCTCGGTTCTACCTCGCAGGGGGGAATGGCAGGCTGCTGGTAAAGGTAGCGTAGCAGCTGAAGAATCAGAGGTATGGCGAGGCCCTGGGACTTGGGACCCAGGTGGCTAGATGTGTGTGATGATGTGTGTGCTATGCCTGGTTTGTGGTGCCTGGCGATTTGACGTCTGGCCACTGCATAATTCGGGAGACGGACAGGTAACTTGGCTGCATAGACCTTACTTCTAGTGCGTAGACCCCAGCAAGGACTGTGAACCATGAACAGTAACTGAGAGTCAGTCCAACGTCTCCAGAGAGCCGTGAAACCTGTCCGCTTGGCTATCCTGCTCAGTGTCCTCACTGTCGGCACATTGATCCTCGAGTCGGACCAAGTACAATTTGCATCTGTCACACATCCAAGACAATTTAACATGGCAGTCCCAGGGACACGCCATGGGCCTATCTTGTTGGATGGGCTCGTGGATAACTCACGGACCTGCAGGCGTTGTAGTCGCATGTGGAGAGCACCGGTGCAGCCAGGATGAGCATCGGGCCAGGGTGGCTCGCTCAGAAAGGCGTGACAGGAGAACTTTGTCAAAGAGGTGCCTATCGTCCAGTTGTCACTGGAACATACTATTACAGCAAACATGGATCGCCTATAGCATACCTGACACCGTGGGCTCGGGAGGAAGACCACACAGATCCCATGCTCCTGCGGGAGATAGGAGGAGCCCATCCTTTGTCGAGCATGTGATCTGAGTGCAGGACCCAATGTTTGGCACAGACCTGGCTGGGGTGTCAAGGCTGCTGTCCCCGTAAAGCAGGGAGGTCCAGGTAGCCCTCATGAGTAGATCGCGGCCTTGAGAGGCGTAGTACCCGGCAGTGGTCTGGGCATCGGTCGTCCTACTATGGGATGGACAGAAACGGACACCTGCAATCTTGGGTTCTGGGCACAGGCCAGCAAGTTTCCGAATGTGGTCGATGGTAGTAGTCGTCGGCCTGTCACAGGGATCAGTAGGGGGTATGATCGTGGGTGCAGGGTCATAGTTGCAGTGCTCAGACAGGCAGATCCCATCGTGTATGCTCGCACGGCTGCTCCGGGCGGTGTCGCTCCTCAAGCCTCTGGTGGGCCCGAATCAGACGGCGAATTGCTTCGCACTTGGGATGGCCAGTTATGTTGGCCAATTTAGCCTGAATCTGCGGCCAGTGACGGCGGCTGAACGCAAGGCGGTAACCGCATGTCAGTCTCCAAGCAGCCTGTACCGTGCTGGTGGTGAGGAGTTGCCAGGTACAGTTCATCTCCCTGTACAACTTTCGCCAGTTGTAACTCCAGGGGCGTCTGAGACTGACGGCAATAAGCGATGTGCGCCAGTGTCGCTTCGTGCCATTGGGGTTGGTGGCAGGTCGCGCGTATTTCCATCCAGGCCAGCGTGAGCGTCTCATGTCAGCACCGCTTTGCGAGGGATGAAGAGTATCATCCTTTCCTGGGACAGTCATACCCGGATCAAGCGAGGGATTCGGAGGTTGCTCGGTCCTCAGATTGCCAGCCATCCCCACTGTCTGTCCTGCAACCCCAGGACGTCGTTTGGGACGGGGAAGTAGGACCTCTCGCCCATCCACCACTGCCGACCGAATGTCGTAGGCTGCAGCGAGCTGCAGCGTTTCTTCACTGAAAAGCCATCCAGGATGAGAGGGCAGGCCAGTCTCTCGAGCCTCCTCCATAGTAGTGGCAGCATCGGTCCTTTCGTCACCCAGTCCTTGGCTACTGGCGCTCTCTAGCATGGCATCCACAGCCACAGCCTCCTCAGTCTCATCCTGCTGGAGTTCGGCAGGCACTGTAGGCAGAGTCTCCTCCTCCTCGAGGATGACAGTTTCCATGCTGTCCTCTTCCTCGTCAGGAGCCACTGCAGGGCCTGGGGCAGCTTCACCCCTTGGCCTGGACTCGGCATCTGCATTTGCAGCCAGCCGCCTGGTACCTCCAAAAACCGTAAGTGGCCGGGCCTGCTGAGGCCTCCTGGCTTGCCTGTTCGCCTCCACCGCAGCCCGAAGTTCACGGCGTTCCTGCCTCTCTCGTTTTCCAGGCTTATAGCGATGCCTTTTAATCGGCTGCACTGTTGGTGGCATGGCTGTTGCACGCAAGGAGAGGGCTATTTGGTCTCTAGAGTGTTTAAGAGCACCAGGTGTAGGCATGAGATAACGACAGTGTACAAGTGTGCCTAAAGGAAATCGAGGGTCCTGGATGCAAAAGGACAGCGGAAAGTGCCAGGTTTTGCGGAGAGATGGCATTGCCATGTCAGTGCCACTGACTGGTAAGGCAGGCAACTGGCAGAGAACAGAGCAATTGTTACAGCCTGGCCTTGTTTCATCAGTGAGGCCCTGGTCAAGCTTGAGGTCATGTGGTCGTGGCAGTCACAGGTCACAGCAGTGCAAGGTCGAGCATGCGGCCTGTAGAAAGCACGGCAGCCTCCTTGACAACAGCACGAGGATTTGGGATGCCGTGCTCCGGCATGCATGCTGATAAGGTGGCAGCCTCTAGTCGGTCTTCTTCCAGCAGCGTCTGACAAACACAGGGAGTTAATAGACAAGGAAAGACCGAGACCCGGCCAGCCTGGGCTTGCATCAGTAGATGTGCATTCAGCCATATTGAGGCCTGAGGAAGAGAGGCTGCAACCGCGAGCCGGCCAGCAGACTTGGCACCCGGCAGTCGGTTGGGTTGGAGCTGTCTCAAGTCCCATGATTGAGGGCGGACCTGAAGTCTGACAGATGAACACACGATACACACTCATGTTGGTAGACAGCACAAGCTGGTTGGTGCACGATAGCTCAGGCAGAAATGGCATTTTTTGCAAACGAAGAGGCTCCGCAAAAGATCCGCTGCACTGTGCTCGGGCATGTGTATCAATCAGTGGTAGAGTCCACACGAGCTCGGGGATCCGTTCTGATGACGATGTCGAGGTGGTACTCGAGGGAGTGTGGTAAGGAGATTGACACCCTAGGTCTCGAGTCTGGCGCCATACCCAAGTCAGGGGCTGCAACGCTCGTCGTGACGATCGGGACTGTGCTGGTCGGTGCAGTAGCCGCCATAGTAGCTGCGAAAGCTGCGGCCGGCGTGTTCGGTGCCGGAAGAGGAGGCATTGTGATCGTGGTAGTAGCCGATGGCGGTCCTGGTCCCGGCCCCCCCAGCGGCCCCGCAGGCGTGGGTGGTGGGGGACCCGCCGGAGGCAAAGTCCCCGAGTGCGTGGCAGTCGAAGGATGGGCCCCAGCACCGGCAGCTGTGTCAGCTTCATCAGAGCTCGTGAAGTGAATCGAGTCGTCTGTGTCCTCTTCGAAGCTGCCACGGGTGGTACGTGCCTTCGCCACAGCCACAGACCCCTTGGCCTTAGGACGTCCCGCTGGCGTTCTGGATCGCCCCCTGCCACCGCCTCGCTCTGCCATGTTATAGGACGGGTGTCAGCACAGCAGTTGGCACTACCTGCACAAATCAAGGCCCTAAGGAGCACTGGCTGGGAGCCAGATGACACGTTACTCAGCAGTTGACAGGGCAAAGGCCACACAGGTCTGTCACGGCACTTGCTTGAACACTCGCTGGCGTTAGCACACAAGGCACTATCGAATGGAAGCTGAGGTGGTGACGGCCACTGTGTGGCTCCAGACACGGCTGGCAAGCTATGCAGATTGATGTGCTTTCGAGCCACTGCCAGTGTGCCAAGTGTGGCTAAGAGCAAGAACTTGCATATGAAGTGCTCCATCCTGCGCCCTACAGACTTGTTTCCTTCGCGAGCCCATGACCTTCTAGCAGGGTTACCGTTTCTAGAAGCAGGGCCCACTGTTTCACACAACATTCTCATCACAGCTGAGAGCCAAGAACCTTAGTAGTAGTAGTAGCAGTAGTAGTAGTAGTAGTAGCAGCAGCAGTAGTAGTGCTGACATTTCGTTCGTTTCCATGTGTTTCGATTCGCGACTTTCCTGAAATCATGAGTGCATTTCTGCCAGATCACACTCACCCACTGACCAGCTAACCGACGCTCCAGCCCGGCTTTAGCATCTTGGGGCCCTTGCTTATCATTGAAGATGGGCCGGGCATGCAGCCACGAACGACAAACCCGACAAACAATTGTCATTGTTTTCGGTCAGCCGGTTTTTGGCCGGGGAACTGGGGTATTCCTGCATGCCCTTGCGAAAGCCGCCGAAGCTCAGAAATCTCATGCTGCACGAGCCGAGGAACTGACGATTCCGGAACCTTCGGCTACCGCCCGACGCACAGTTTCGACACATACCGGTTGCGTCTACGCAGTTGCGTTGTGCCATCGCCAGGTGCGTCTGTGCAGCCCCATGCTGGCACCAATCGTTGCCTGGAAGGCAGCAGCTGGCAAGGTCGCGGAGGCTCAGCATATTCTCTGATAGTGCAGGTCACGGCTACGTCATTCGGCAAGTCGTCCATTGCTGCCCATTTGCCGGCAGACCATCAGGTTGGAGCACGGGCATGAACTGAACCAATTCTCAGCGAGGTGTTGGCATGTTGAGCTACACCAGGTGAAGATCGAGGATGAGTGGGTGGAATGTCGAGGCAGTTACCATTTTGGTAGCACGCTGTGGCCTTCGAGACAAACAGGTGCCAAAGGTGACATCGCCAAAGGCTTGATCAAAGCTAAGCACGTCGTCGGAACGATATCACTGGGAAAAGATGCTGCAGCCTCACGATGATTGGGTCTCAAGGTATGCGCTAAGATGCGCCAACCTGTGATGCGGCAGCTTCCGAGGTCACGCTGAAAGAGGCCAATGGCTGTGGCAGCGTCCTAGTACGCAAGACTGCTACGCAGGCTGCTTCTGGGTATTCCTGCTACGGAAGACCGCGCTTCGTGAGTGTGTCCCTCCATGAACAGTTGAAGCGCCAACGACAATTGCACCCAACAGGATTTGTGCAAACATGGTGCCGCATGATGCTTGCAACAGCGGCTTGAGGAAAAGGTAGCGCACGATGCTCGAACATTATCGAAAAGCACCGGATAATCGGTTTGGTTTTGGTGATGGCATTTTTGCGTTTCAGTAGGTTTTATGAGTTCCGATTTATCAGTGTTTCAACGCCTAGATAGCGGAACCAGTTAGAGCACACCTCCAGGGGTTAGGCTTGTCGCTTGATTGCAATCTCCGCACAGCCCCTTGCCTACAGGGGGCAGCTGTTTCTTTGTTAGCTGCTTGCCGCTGCTGCTGCCGCTGCGACTGCGGGGACAGGAGGCGGAGGTGTTGGGGAGCTCTAGGACTATATGCAAGAGCGAGGGGAACTCGCTGGAGGACAGCTCGAGGTGTAATCTTCAGGCCCGCCAGGCCAAGTAGGGTACGGTCGGGTCATTAACATGTGGCCGGTGTAGTACAGCCAGAAGCGTTGTGCACGCTCATGCCCTGAGGACGAAGGAAAGAATGCCCTTGGCTACTGGGATGACGGGAAGAAGGTCAAGGACGGGGTCTAGACTTTGACGTTTTCTGAAACTCGCTCTAGGTGGCATGTTGTATGGAAAGGCTTGGGGTTGTGCTACTTTGTTCGGCGCAGGTTGTCAACCACTGGATCGAGTGCTCCTGGGAAGGTGCCGGGCCATCAAAGCGGGGGATCGTCCAGGCTGGCGAAGAAGCCCAGCAATCCTTATCCAACATCAGAAAACTGCGCTTCTGCAAAGGCCAACTGCGTTCCGGAGAACGACATTGTTTTGCGCGGGCCGGAAGAGGAGCTGTCAGCATCCGAACTGAAGGTTGACCTTCCAAGAGACGCCGTTGTACCCAGGATTGCCAGGCTGTCTTGAAGCTCTTCAAAGCGAAGCTCGGCTTCGACGTTGAGGTCTTTTCACTCGGCGGTGTGCGCCCCATAATGTGATGGGCTGTGTCTGTCGCATTCGGTAAGTGGGGGCATTGCATTCATTTCTTCCGCGCATGCCTCTGACAATTGTAAGCTCGAGCTTGCGACGAACATCTGGAAACATCTTGCGTCCTCGAAATGTCACACCTCCGGGCACAATGGCATGCAGGAAATGGCTATGGCAAATCTCGGCGAACCTAGATTTCCTCGATCAGCACCGAGTTCTATTCGCTGATGGACATTGCACGTGCAGCTACTTTTGTTGGAGACGAGGTTGTCCCCTGCAGGATCTTGTACCGGGACATTTGACAAACAGTGAGCAGGTTCTTTGTGTGGGTGTGTGAGTTGTGCCACGGGTGAGAGACAGCGAGGACACCAGTTTGGCTCAAGCGGGAGCGGTTCAAGGATCCTGGGGGCACCAGCCTGTCTCCCTTCTTTGTCTCTTTTGCTAAAGCCACCCCAGGAATCCTAAACCCGGGCGTCTGCCTAAATCCCCGTCCCTCTCTCTCTTTGCCATTGCTCAGCTACGTGACCGCGAAGAGATCGGTGTGCATCGCAGCCCGAGGGTGACGGCAGCTGTGCACCCTCTTGTGTA